TCGTATCTTGTGACCTATTCCAGGTCTTGAGGTCCCTCTCCACATTTCCTCTTAATTTACCTCTCCCTCACGAGAAGCGGTGAGCCATGAGCGAGGGCCCTTAGAATGGCGTAATCGGCCCGTTACTGCTTTGGGAAGAGAAGACACAAAAGATGGACTGGGTCCAAAACTGGGGGGGGTGTTTTCTGTCTTAGTTTCTAGGACAAATTGTGGATCAACAGACCCGACTGGAAAGTGCGGTAAGGGCGCTTTCTGGGCCGCAAGTGCTTTTTCATTCTAGCGTTGAGACTTGCGTGCCCACCAGCACCCCACCACGCCCTTTCCTGTCGCTGTTACATAATCATCTTGTCTCTACGAAGTGTATGAAAGATGCTATGTATAATAATGGATCAAGGATGTAGGAGATGTTGATTCATCAGATTTTCTGGTCTACTTGCTCTTTCGCCCATCAACGATGCAGCTAATCCACAATTCTACCGGTATAGGCGGAGCGGAGGAGCATGGAAAGGGATTCACCCGAACCACGTCAGCTCGTAGGTTCTAGATGACAAGAGGGAGGAAGAAAGCAAGGAAGGAGGAACGATTGCTTCTTCTTTTTGTTCTTCTCTCCCCGGCATGGACGATCATGGTCCTTCCTCCTGCATGAGTGACAGCGGGCAAGGCGAGCCCAGCCCGTAAGCAGGTTCCGGCGGTAGGCATAGTGTGCGTGGTTCCGGTTACGCTTACCTTAAGTTACTGCGCATACGCACCACCTTAGCTATAGCGTTATTCTAGAAGGCATATAGAGACAGACGGAACGGATGAAACCCAACCACCTGTTTTATGGTGTACTACATTTCTTGCAAGTTGCAGTTGCCCGACGGCCCCATATCAAGTCCACACTCCTCCTCCTCCTCCACCATCACCACAAGCCGTCTCCAGAAGAAAGGTCCCGAGATCCCTGACCGCCACGCGAGAGACAAAATAAAAAAGAAAATAAAAAGGACGGGAAGACCAAAAAAAAAGTTTTGGCGTGGCACCTGACAGGGATGATGACACTCGCTGCAGTTACCCTCCTACTATTGGCAAGGCTGAGTCTAGAATCAGTGGGTGGCGCGCGTTTCCGGGTGGTTGGGAAAGGGAAGGAAAGGAGACCTCAGGCTCCAGGCTTGTTTCAGATGGTTCTAAAGTGGTTCTAGGGGTGATTTTGGCTGGCTTCTATACTCCGTAGTGCGTACAGGTATGGATATCACGGGGTTGGGTTTTGGTTTTGTCCTCTTCATCGTTTGATTCGAATAGATGATACGTACTAACGTGGCGTTGGGGTTTGTGGGATTGCCCGAAGTAAAAAAGTGAAAAATTGCTGGAAACCTGTTGTTGCTATGGGTACAAATTGTAACTTGCAAGACCCTCTCCTGTCTCTCATGCCTCTTGAACTTATCTCTTCAATGTCTCAATTGCGTCCGTCTTGTTTCTAACCTTTCTTAGTTTCAAGGCAGCCAATAACCATCAGGGTCCGGGGGCCAAGGGCCCAAGAGTCAGTTAGGTTTGCCATGTGGCTGGCGCCCGAGTCAAATCCGAGAACGAAGATTAAATCAGAAAATAAGAAAAAAGAAATACAAGAGCTCCGGGGTTATACGCCGCAGCCAGTCAGGATTAGGCCTGGAGGTGTAGCTTTGGAAAATAGTGTTTGAAGTTAGGTTTGTAAGGGATCTGTGCGTATCTCTCTCCCGTCTCTATCCTTGACAAGACTCTTTCTACTTTCGCTTCTAGCTCTTCGACACGAGACAGGGGAAGACGGAGGCAAAGGCAAAAGAAGAGTTTTCAAACCATCCTGTCTCCAGGATGGTAACCGAGTGCTTGGCTCTTCGCCGTCAGTCTGTCAAACAACTGGTAGCGGGTTGGTTAACAGGTCAGATTTGCCACATGGCTAGGTACAGTACGAGTCAAGAAGAAAAAAGATAGACAACTGCACACAAGGATTAGTTATTGGTTACCCCTTTTCTCCCTTGCTTGACGTGTCTTCGTTCTATCTTTCCTGCTCATCTTGTGCTACAGATAGTTCGGCACAAGGTAAGACTTATTGACGCGGTAGTCATGCTCTTTCTCTCTTCCCTCTTCACCATAGGTATTGATTCCGAACACGCCTTCATGGGATATTGCTTTGCATTCCAACTGACACGAAACCCTGCAGAGAACGCAGGGTCAAATCGTGAAGATGATCCTCATTTCCCCTGCAACTCTCCCCTGACTTCTAGCCCTCTGGCCCTGTAGCCGTTCCTTGGCCCATGGGAGATATGATACTGATCGACCGGCTTGACTTCCCAGGGTAGAGGGGTTTTTGGCTTTTCTTTTTTAGCTTTAAGTCCCCCGGGCCTACGTCTCCTCCTTAAGACAGTTAGACTAAATCCCGCGACAGGCGCCGAGCTGTGAATGCAATGCGACTTCCTGAGAGCCTCCCCCCCCTCTTTCCAGTAGCCGGGCATAAATCCCGGCAGTTGGTTCAGGCTAGGGCTAACTATTCACCTAGTGCTAGTACGTACTACCGGTAGGGTAGGACAAGAGAACAGGGATTATTGATTGAAGAGTCTAAGCCTCAACTGATTACTCAGGCCCGTCAAGGTGCTTGACCCCCTGACTCTGGTTTTGGTTTTGGCCAGCTGTGTGTATAGGACTCAGCTTTTGATGTTGAGGAATTATTGTTGAAGCTGGTTGGCTAGACATGTATAAGACATGCGATTCTTGAAGTCAGTAGGTTTGGAGGGGTGTCAGGCTGTCGGTAGACCGTAGCAAACAACGGACCAGATTTAGACTTTCTGTTCTAGCGGGTGCTTGCAGTTTGTTGATTACTTTTCCTAGTCTGCTTCTCTTCGTATTGGAGGGTGATCAAGGATCGACAGGACTACGACACGGGCCTTGAGGGTTGAAGACGACTGGGTCACTGGGAGGGGGGAGGATATAGCATCCCTGCCAATGGGTGGAGTATGTGCTAGACTTGTAGTCCCAGGTGGTTGCAGAAGATGTTGTTAGTTGGTATGGAGCAAATAGGGAAGCTAGTTGGCTGCGATAGTGCCATACTGCATTCTATGTATGATTAGATTGCGACGGCGGTAGTTGCGCTGTCAATCGCATGGGAAAATGTGGGACCTGCTTAAATCAATGCTCTACCGAATACCTTAATAGAGAGATGTTGTATGTCAATCGGAACTGAACTCGGTTACAGGCTGGCACCAACAAGGAAATTGACTGATGTCTGTACCTGATTTCAAATCCGTGGAACTGTGAAGGAGGTGACACCAACTTCCTAATCGAGCAGGACTACCAACCCTAGACTCCTCAGCTGCAAATGATATCGACGTTATACCCAGTATCTATCTCACTTCGGCTCAGATGACCCAGATATCGAAGCAGATGAATACAGCCTGAATACATTCGAGCTAAAGCGAAACGATCCACTTTTTCTTATTCTTTGTGCACTAAACTAGTTGCCCGCAGAAAAGCAACAGAGGTTCTAAGACCCCAAAGAGAGCGGTCAAAAATCAGAGTTGATAATCGCCCATTCGCCCCAACACCAACGCCGCACGGGGCAAAAGACTGAGAACGGAAAAAGAGAAGCGGTCAAGGAAAAATCTGGAATTGGGCGGGGTGGGGGGAGAGAGCGCGGTGGATTCCCAGACCTGCTCTGGACCTTGGCAGTTAGTGGGGGTGGCTAAACTCTGTCGGGATTAGCTCTGATAAACAGTTTTTCTTTTGGTGAGATGGGAAAAGGTATCCACTCTCTTTCTTTCTTTCCTTCTTTTTTCTTTTTCTTTTACCGACAATCATATCGCGGGATATGGTAGGTGGAGCGTCGAGGCTCAAATCTTGACCAGACAGAAAAAAAAAAAGATGACTGAAGAAAAAAAAATGGGATGATGCGGGTGCCACGTGGAGGGCAAGTTGAAGAATGACGAAAAAGAAAGGAACCACACTGCACACACCGTGTTTTCTAGGTAAGACCTGAATCATAAATGCAAACTCGTATGAGTAGTACGAGTGTGTATGATTTATTGTTATGTCATAGATTACAATTGTCTTGGCTCTGGTGGAAATGTTTTCCTTCATACACTGATGGAGGGCCTAGATGGGGGTGTGTTTTCCTTTTACTGCATGGTTCGCCGTCCAAAGGACGACGCTGAAAGATAAGGTACGCACTACGCAGGCTACGGCGATGACAACAACTCACTCGCCCCTTGATTGAAATGCCGAGGTACAATCTACTTTTTCGCTGGGAGGTAGAGTCCGACTCCGGTACTACCCAGATTAACGGAGTATTTGAGGGAGCTAAATCCGTACTTCTGAGATCTGGGTGGAAAAGCGAACGGGGCGAGGCGGAAAAACCCGCCTTCGGGCCAGTGATGATCCTATATTAGACTTTGGCCGGGTTACTGCCGGCCAAACCGTATTTGATATCAACTGGTGAGACATGGCGGTTGAAGCCCATCCCCTATGGAACAGACTCAAAATTGTAAACATGCGAAGGCTCTACCATCAACTGACGGGGCTGTACTGAACACAGGGGTACTTAGTAGCCCCTTCTCATGAACTGAACCAACAGAGTCAAGAGGATACACGGTCCCAATTGGACGACATCGAATGGTTTGCAATGCCAGTTCTTGCTTTTTTTTTGTTTCGGGAACAAGGCCCCAAAGGATTGGGGTTGAGCCAAGTTCCTAGAATAGATACCAATCCCTGCTCGTTCGCGAACTATATCGGAGGGAGGGTATGAGAGATTGGGCGATGCTAGTTCCAACAGCATCAAATCCTAATCCAACCACCTCACCTGACAACATACACCGACTTCATGAAGTGAATCCGTGGTATCAAGGTCCAGAGACAGACGGTAGCTCGCAATACTCCCTCCAATCAATCTTGTAGGCAAGGAGAATGCCTAAATTATTTACGATGTGTAGATCGAAAGTACAGACTTACAGTTCTTACGCAGCTAATCGCCCAATTCATTGAGAGACAGACACGAACCTGTGTGGACTTGACCCAAACTCAATCCAATTTCATTTCGATCGACGAACGCATTTTCCACCCCATCTCATCCGTCAACAACGTGTCCTTTCCCAATCCAGGCAAAGCTCCATGAAACACACACACCAGTCCCAGAGAGAAATCGTCCGGTTTGTATTCCATCGGCCCCATCCAGAGTTCCAGACAGAAAGGAAGGAAAGGGGTGGGAAGGGGGGCGGCGACGGGAAACGGAAAAAGAAGAGCGAGAATAAAAAAACGGGCGAAGATCGGACCAGGTGGCGGCCGATCGCGTAGAAACCGAATGGAAGAATCATGGAATCCTTGGGTTGGGATAAGCCATCCCTTTGGGGGGTGTGATACAGGCGCCATGATATCATATATTGGAGACTAGCTTGACTCCGTATCCATGGTTAAGGAAAATGAGTTAATATACATTGGCTGCTGGGGAACCAGAAATCAAGTATCAGGTGATGTCAGGTCTTCCTCAGCACTAGAAACATTCTAGAAGGCTTCTGGAATACGCTAGAAGGGATTTTCTCTTCCTCCGGTGGATTCTTTTGCGCCCCGCCCCTTACTCCTCCCCCCCTCTCTCCTTTTGACCCACACAAGTCCATACTCATACATATGGCGTGTGGGGGTCTGTCTTGTTGTTTCTGTTAGGGAAGGTTCGGCTCGGATTGTCTGATGTGTACGTGTGGCCCGATGGTTTATTTCGGACAGTCCGGAAGTACATTCCACTACAGTATGCCCATGTATGTGTGGGATGGAGACCTGTGAAACCCTCGCTTAATCTCTTCTTGTACGCTGACGGGCTTTCCTTGCTCGGGAGTCCGGCTGACCAGAGTTGGTTTCAGGTACGGACGGGAGAGTTTACCCAAGTGACAGTTCTAACGGCGGCCCCGAGCATCAACGGCGGTCCCGAAGGTTTGTGATGCATGGCAAGCTAGGAGGATCCTTCTCACATTTAGGAATGTCGCTTAAGCAAGGGGACAAAGTCAAATCAATTGTGTGGAGGACTTGGCGCCTGCTCGTTTCCCGCGACTAGATTTCTCCTCCGCTTTTGGCGCTTATGTCGTCTGCAGGTTAATTGATTAGCGCACTATTCTGAAGTATGGAGGGGTTGTGACCTGTCTGTTTGTTAGCGTTGAGAGATTCTGGAATTGGATTTGTTCGACGTCACTGGAAGATGGTACAGATCCTTTTGCATATCACAATTAGACTGTCCTGGATGCAAGCCATTCAAAACGGATGTTGCTTCCATTTCGGGACTATTGGTATCATTGAGGACGTCTCCATACTGCATAAGAATCTGCATTCAGAATCGAGAAAGGGGTCACATATCGACTAGCCTTTGTCCACAGGATTTTGCAATAACGAGGAAAGTGAAGGCGGAGACATCTGCTTCTTCTCGAACGACTACTAACTCTGCCGGTCGCAATAAGTTGGTTGCTATATGGTTGTTTGGACAGATCGCACAATCTCGAAAGACAGATGCATTTCGGGTCTAGTTGTGGGGCTACAGCCTAGACAATAAAGCCTATCCTAAGAGATCTCCAAACGTAGGCGGCTTCTGCTATGTAGATGTCAATAGCATCTCCTAGCAAGGCTCACGCCTGTAGTCACTTCTGCATATTTTTCTAGTGCCCCTCGTTCTAAGTTTTGATAGATAGGATACACAGGAGTGAGAGAGCAGGCTAACGCTAAGGCTTCTATAGCGCAGAGTTCGAGGCATACGGACCACATAACATAGAGTTATGCCATAGTTGGCTACGAGCTAGTCGTCTCTAGCACATCGACAGATAGACAAGTAACTTAATAGTGCATAACAAGCTCTTTATAGTGCTCTGAATATGCAGCTACTCGTGAAATAAAGTGCAAGATAAAGTTTGCTGGAGCAAGTGCTGGTGACTAGCGAGAGGGTCCCGGCGGCGCGACGATCAGTTTGAGTCTATGACATGACTCATGAGATTCGACCTTCTTCGAAACTCATGTCATGTCAAGAAAGTAGGTTTCTTTCCTTACTGGGGAATTGCAAACCTAAAAGCCCGTATAAAGAGAGTTTTCCTCGGAAAAGACACTCGACTCATTGTGTACTCCGTGGGAAATAGTGGAACCGAGATCTATAGGAACCGGACTACATGTCTTCCCAACACTAGCATAGCTAAAACCAAGCTGGACGTATACACACAACTATCTCAGGTACTGGATCCCGCCGCTTTCCAACCACATTACGCGAGATGTACACACATATCAGTATCTATCAATTATCCAGCCGACCTCTAGGTCTTCTGCTGTGCTGAGTCAGCAGTTCTTCGGCAGAACCCCCGGCCCTCAATAATCATGACTAAAGCCAATCAATAATTCGTGGAAAGACGCACGTGGAGGATCTTCCGGGAGGCCGCCATCGAACCTTGAACGTTACACTGCAGGGCAGGTAGTAGCCCAAGAGTAGGGGGCTAAGTTACCAGGCGGGGAGAGAATTTTGGAGGGCAGGGCAAAGTTTCTGGTTCAGACACTGGACCTGTACTGACCGGTACGATACGACAGCAGACGTTATCAGCTACGGTCCGGGAATAACCGGGGTAGAGGCGGCAAGTAATGGTACGGTACGTACAGTACATACGGTACGCGGTCACACCACCCCGATCATCGGCCCCTTCCTTCACCAAACTCAAAAGCTCAGGCAGAGAAAGGAACGCGGGAGAGCAGCACAGCTCACCATGCCGAAGAATTTGGGAAAAACCTAGGCGTGGGAGACGGAGTCGGAGCCGGATAATGACGGAGTCGGTAGGACTAGGAACAAAGACCATCGAAACTCTAGGCAGTTGGCCCTATCAATCCTGCAAGATTACGCGATGCGGTCTAGCGTTGCTTCGTTTGAAGAAAATGGTCCATCCTTGCGGAATTTCAGTACAGCTTCATCATTTGCTGGTCGCAGCATCTGAGTCAGGTGAAGGTCTGTGGAAAATGCGGGGTCCGGAGTTCATTCAATCAATCAATCAATGCTGCATGCCAAATGAGGTTACCTACAAGCGCCTGGTCTAACTGACTACCCTAATTATTGACATGCATGTTGCCTATTTGTCCGATTGCTCCATGTCTGCTCTTGGCGAGCTTCGAATGGCGTTTTTGAGAACACAAGCCACAGTAGAAAACCAAGATGACGATATCTTGCTGCACTGAAGCCTATTCTCACACTGGGAATAGAAGACCCACAATACTGTTCCGCTTTGGAGCAGGGTCTTGTATGGCTCGCTGGCTATACACACTGAAGCATGAGCTGATATCAGGCTTCAACGGCTACGCAGACTCAATCCCGATCACGAGAGCACGAGGCGCGCCCACGATACAGCCTTCAAACCATACGACGCGGACCATGGGTTCCTCGAATTCAGAAAGCGTTGCTGGTTCCTTTTTCTTGTTGGCGGCGTCGCTTGCTCTCGCAGGTAATAACTTAGTATTAGCTCCGAAACAAACGAAACTGCGATCTTTGGCCCAGTCCTGCTTTCCCTGCACCTCCACAGTCGGTCGGACCTTACATGTCGAGGTGCGGCTTGGTAAGCTGCTTGAATAGACGCCATGGGATCCTTCATGCCGGCGCGACAGCGAGCTCAGGCAGTGGCGTTAACTAGAGCCTATTATGGCTAGTTCGCAAAGCTTGTCATAGTAGCTGTTTTTGGCGCGATTTGAATAGCCGACCCCCAATTGTAGCATAGTTTGCAGGATGCGGTATGGCAACCAGATCCACGGGGCTTGCTAGTCGCTTGGTCGCGGGACAGAGGGTATTTCGAGCGGTATCCAAGCTTCTCGTCATTGCGCAGTCTTTTGGGGCCAGCGCAACGTCCTGGCTCTTTCGCAGGATAGAGTGAATATGGATATCAGGATGAATCGTGGCTGCCCACCCGTCATGAGACGATTGTACGGGTTCATGGGCAGGAGAGAATGTTTGTATGGTTCGATTGGTCGCAAGTGCCTATAGTTGATATGGAGATTAGCACATGTCTTCAGCTCAGGTCAACAAATGATGCAAAAAGTAGTTTGCGCCAAGTGGTGGGCTGCGTTCTCCAGCCAAGAGGCGTTGGTGACTCAAGAGCTGGGAACCTCGACGAGATGCCCACATATTACATTGGCGTAATCTCAAAGTGGCAACCATTACAGTCAGACCAAGAGGTGTAAATTGAGGGCGAGGTGTCGATGAGTCGTGCAATATAGGGAAACTCGAATCTCAATTCATGATGTCCCCGATATTCGATTATTGATCGATTAAGCAATGTATGGCTGTCCATTTCCCGCCAATTCTGCGTCACGTGATTCGATCTCTCCCCCATCGCTGCCTTCTTGCTTGTGTTGTTCGCATGCCTACCCTGTTGATACCTTTCATCTATCCTGACCTGACTATCAAGTTCACAATCGGGATATATACGTGCTCAATGAGACCTTCTTGTCACTTTTGCAACATCTGCCTTGCCAGCCCTGACTGACCATCGCAAAGTCTCCTTGTTTGTACTGTATTGTACACATTGTTTTCGAGAGGTATAAAACCGATCCACAGGACGGCGCCGGACGGTCTGCGACGCTGCGTGAACCCACCCCATCGACTCTTGCAGCTGCAGAAGCAAGGAGATCAGACAATTACTCGGTTGAGAAGGGCCCCGGCGTTTAATAGACCTCGCAGATCCTTGCTGTCCACGCGAAAACCACCTTGACCCCCCACCTTGGCCTTTGGCTGTCATTCGGCGATTCGAGCTCACGCTCTTCGACTCATATTTATGCGGTCATTTGTCCGATAAGTCAGTGGGGAATAGCAAACACCGTATACCTTGAGGATCGGCATTTGTTTACCAAGAACAAGTGATCGTCCCCCATATGGCCGCCATGACTAGTCACTTCTGTAATCCCCAAGCGTTTGTTAGCACAGTTCACAACCCCTCTTCTTCCCCCGGCGTCAGACTAAATTGACTAGGCTTGCTCCACCTTGGTTGCTGACTAGTCTCGACTAGCAGTGCTTGCGAGACCACGACATGATCGATCACTATGCGCAAGTGAGAGGTATTGGCAGTCTGTGTAACATGGGCAATGTGTGGCAGGGGTGCCAGACGGTTGACTGCATTGACTACTCATTCACACATCCGATTTCACCCGTCGCCTCGGGGACAAGACAAGGCAAACAGGCGTGTCGGTAGAATTCCATCTCAGCTTTTCTGTTGAAAAGGTTACAGCATCAAAACACCTCTTCCTCACATCAGACAAGCGATACTCGGTTAGTGTTAGGCCCCCATGCGGATCCGTCCTCGTTTTTTCCAGCGCTTGATACGGATGTCAAAAGAACGCTACTTGGTTTCCATAGTGACCTAGTGTCCCCGCTTGTTGGATGATGACTGAGAGATCCTCCTCTGA